GGGTCGGCTACATGGATTGCAAGACGCCATTGTGCTCTATCATTTATTAAGCTTTTAGAAATATTATTAATTAAGAGATCACGTTCAACAACTTCCAAGAGTGTTCTCTTAGGCCTTCCTCTACCTCTCTTAATCGGACTCAAAGTTATATGTTCCACTCTTCTCACTGGTGCCTCCCTTGGTCTTCTTTGTACATGCCCAAACCATCTCAACCGATTTTCTACCATTTTTTCCTCAATAGGTGCCACCCTCACTTTTTCACGTATGTGCTCATTTCGAATTTTATCTTTACGTGTATGTCCGCACATCCATCGTAACATTCTCATCTCTGCTACTCCAACTTTATGCTCTTGCTGTCCCGTTAGAGCCCAGCATTCACTACTATATAACATTGCCGGTCTGATAGCAGTACGATAAAACTTTCCTTTAAGTTTATTAGGCACCCTACGGTCACAAATAACTCCTTTAGCTTTTCTCCAATTAAACCACCCAGCTTGAATTCTATGTGAAATATCTCCACTGATTTCGCCATCATTTTGAATAATGGCTCCCAAATATCTAAACTTTTCCACTTGAGGTATAATTTGATCTCCCAATTTCACTTCGAAATTATTTTCGAATAGTCCTTTACCAAATTTACAATATAAATATTCCGTCTTACTTCTACTCAGACGAAAACCTTTCGACTCCAATGTCCTCCTCCATAACTCAAGTTTGCAATTAACCTCTTCTCTTGTCTCTGCTATAAGAACTATATCATTCGCAAAGAGCATACATTTCGGGATTTCCTCTTGAATATGTTCCGTCAAAACATTTAAAATCAAGTTGAACAAATAAGGACTCAGAGATGATCCCTGATGTAGTCCAATCTTTATAGGAAAATCCTTTGTTTGACCACTAGGCGTTCTTATACTAGTTTTTACCCCCTCATACATATCTTGTATGGCTTTAATATAAGCAATCCGTACTCCCTTTTTTTCCAACGCTTTCCAAAGCACTTCTCTTGGTATACGGTCATAAGCTTTTTCCAAATCAATAAAAACCATGTGTAGATCTTTATCTTTACAACGATACTTTTCCATTAATCCCCTTAGTAGATAAATCGCCTCTGTAGTTGATCTACCTGGCATAAAACCAAATTGATTCTCAGAAATACTTGTCTCCAATCTCAACCTGTGCTCAATTACTTTCTCCCACAATTTCATTGTGTGGCTCATGAGTTTAATCCCTCTATAGTTAGTACAATTCTGAATATCTCCTTTATTTTTATAAATAGGAATTAATGTACTTCTCCTCCACTCATCAGGCATTTTCTTGGACCGTAAAATCACATTAAATAACTTAGTTAACCATCTCACCCCTTCTTCACCTAAACATTTCCACGCTTCGATAGATATACAATCAGGTCCGTTAGCTCTACCATTTGCCATTTTCTTAAGAGCTTCCTTTACCTCCTTATCACGTATTTTTCGATAGAATGACAAATTTTGTTCTCCTTCACCAGTTACTAAATCCTCCAAGTTACTAGATGAATCCTCTCCATCATTGAAAAGTTTAGAAAAATAAGTCTCCCATCTATTTTTAATTTCATCATCTGTAACTAAAATTCTTCCCTCTTCATCCTTAATACACCTTACCTGTTCTAGATCTCTTGATTTTCTTTCCCTACTCTTGGCAATCTTATAAATATTTTGCTCTCCTTCCTTCGTCTCAAGGTTCTTATAAAATTCTTCAAAAGCTTTGGAACGAGCTTCACCCACAGCTCTCTTAGTTTCCTTCTTAGCCATACGGTACCTCTCCCAATTTTCCTCATTGTTACACAAATGTATGGCTTTAAAACAGTTCTTCTTATACTTGATTTTGTCCTGTACACTATTATTCCACCACCAAGACTCCTTATCTCTCGGACCAGAACCTTTCGTTTCTCCCAAAACTACTTTTGCAACCTCCCGTATCTTTTTAGCCATATCCTCCCATATGATGTTAGCACTTCCCTGAGAATCCCAAATTCCTTTATCCAAAAGATTTTGCTTGAAAATATCTTGCTTCTCACCTTTTAATTGCCACCACCTAATCCTTGGTGTTACTACTTGTCGACGTTTTTGGATTTTACTCATAATACACACATCAAGGACTAGGACCCTGTGTTGTGTCGTTACAGCATCTCCAGGGATCACCTTACAATTTTTACAAAGTTTTCTATCTGTGTTCCTAACCAAAAGAAAATCAATCTGCGACCTTGAGGCTCCACTTTTGTAAGTGATGAGATGCTCATCTCTCTTCTTGAAACAAGTGTTGGCAATTTTAAAATCATATGCCAATGAGAAATCAAGAAGAGTTTGCCCTTCATTGTTTAGCTCTCCAAAACCAAAACCACCATGCACCCTCGCATACTGACCAGCTTCCCTCCCGACATGCGCATTAAAGTCTCCTCCAATAAAAATCTTTTCACTCTGTGGTATGTGTCGAATCAACCCCTCCAGATCCTCCCAAAATAATTCCTTAAGACTGGCTTCTGTCCCGACTTGCGGCGCATAAGCGCTAACAATATTAACAGTCTCACGTCCAATTATCATTTTTAAAGAAATAATTCTGTCTCCAATTCTGCTAACTTCTACAACGTTCTTCTTCCACTCCTTATCTATAATGATGCCTACTCCATTGCGTGCACTTACTTTTCCTGTATACCAAAGTTTGAAACCTTGAATATCCTTAGCTCTTTCTCCACGCCATTTTGTTTCTTGCAAGCAAAGGATATTGATTTTCCTTTGAATCATAACCCCTACAACCTCTACAGATTTACAATTTAATGTCCCAACATTCCAAGTACCAAATCTAATTTTGCTCTTATGGACTAACTTCTTTAGCCGCGTGCGTCCAGAATGACGCGGTAGCCCTTGCTCATTTAACACTACATCCGGGCGCCGATGCAGCGGCTCTAACTCACTTATCACTGTACTCGAGCCATGCAGCGCGTTACTTACGGGCAACGACCTAACATTAACATTATAACGTCTATTGTCCATGTTCATGATAGATTCAACAAATTTTTACATTGGCTGTTGATGGCCTAACACAACCCTCCTCCTTTACCCGGGCTTGGGACCGGCTATAAACATAGGCGGAGTTTGCTAACTCTTATGATATCATTTAAAAAACATAGCATGGCAAAAAGTAAGCGATTTAATTCTTTTCAGAGTGGGAAAACGACTCAAATATTCAGATATATGGTCTCTTTAGTTGTAAATACTCATTTCATAAAATTATTTTTAATTTGGTTTTAAATTGATTATTTAATCAAGATGAGCTGGGTGCCTATTTGGCATACAACATTAAGTTACAAAAAGCTTGTATTTTCGTTTTAATCATCTGATAATATGCATGATAAGCAATTTCAATTTCCTGGATGTTTGAAGAGTTTTAACAGCTTGAATAATTGTTAGTGACCATGCTAATCTAGCTCAATTGTTTCACTAGTTAAAGTTGACAATGTGTAGAGCGAAGTACGAAGATGGCAAGTAGGGAAGAAGCAAAACAATTTTGGAGACACGCAGTTCAATTTCCTTTCGCAATAGATAAACAGGATTACACAACATACATGCTATGCTCACTAAGAGATGTGTAAGAGCAAGAGCGAAGACATATATCCAAAAGAATATAAATAAGGAAATCAGAAAGAATGGAAAGCACATGCCTGGTAACTCAAGTATTAGCTCAACCCCTCTAACTAGGAGGTGGTTCACATACTCAGTCTTTACTTCAAAGATCAACGTATCTGGAATGTGACAAGGCTATGTAAAAGCATCGGCCAATTGTTCTGAAGAGGGAACATAGTGAATAGCTAACTGTTTTGCTAGAAATCATACATAATGAATGTCCAGTTCTAAGTGTTTAGTATGAGCACAGCACACTGGATTTGTACTGTAATTCACCGCTGGATTTAGCTGTAACTATGCTTTTTAGGATCCCAATTCACCAATATATTGAGAGGCAAAACAATTTTGGAGTCACAAAGTGCTATTCCCTTTTGCAATAGATAAATAGTATTACAATATATACCTGCTATGTTTTCTAAGAGCCACAAGGACGCAACAAAAGCAATGACATATATTCTATAGAATATAAGTAAATAGGAAAAATGCAAAAAACACATCTTGTAAAAGAGCTAATTAGCTATTTTGACTCAGTCTGGTGTTTCATTTTTTTTTTTTTGGGGTTCCAAAAGGGATTACAACATTTAATTTCAATAATAGATAATGGATTCGTACCATTTTTTTGTGTGCTAGTTGATAATCCTTACTTTTTTTGTTTAATTTAGGTGTTTAAGTTTGTGTTCTGATCAATAAGGATCACTATATCAACGATAGGCAATGGGAATCCAGGGGATAGTTCCTTGCATTTATTTAGCAACTTATCCATTTTGAAAGATTATGGAGAATATGGTGTTCTGACTGCTATAGTAATTGGTATACTTATACCTGTCTTGCTTTCGGCATTGTTCGTGGGAAAGAAGAGAGGAAAAGTAAGAGGTGTTCCAGTAGAAGTTAGTGGTGAGCCAGGATGTGCCGTATGTAATGCTCAAAAGACAAATTTGGTTGAAGTTCCTTGGGAAGGAGCTACAACCATGGCTCATCTATTTGAGCAATCATGTATGAAATACTCCAAAAGACGATTTTGGGACAAGAAAGATAATTGAAAAGAAGTTAGTCCCATCACATGATGGTAGACAGTTTGAGACACTTCATTTAGGCGATTATGAATGGCAAACTTATGAAGAGGTATTTGCTCGTGTGTGCAATTTTGCATCTGGGCTTATCAAATTTGCTAATAACAAAGATAGTCATGTTGCCATTTTCTCTGACACCAGGGCTGAGTGGCTCATTGCTCTTCAGGTTAGTTTGCTCTTTCATCTTCATTTCATTGTGTCATCTCGCTTAATTATTGATTGTCTCTGCTTTCATGTATCTTAATTAAGTTTGGCTGAACTGCAGGGTTGCTTTAGGCAGAATATAACAGTTGTTACTATTTATGCTTCTCTCGGGGAGGATGCCCTGATCCACTCACTTAATGAGGTAAGAAAATGGCTAAAACTATATAACTAGAGGAAACAAATGTATTTCAAACCGACATTATAAGATCAAAAGTGGTGTTGCAAGTACTCATTTGAAGCTTTGGAATGTCAACAGACTCAAGTATCCACCCTGATCTGTGAATCCAAGCAGTTGAAGAGGTTAGATGCTATAAGCTCAAAACTAATGTTTATCCAGAGTGTAATTTACTTTGAAGATGACGGCTCATTGAATAATGATACCTTTGGAGATTTGAGCAAATGGAAAATTGCATCTTTTGGTGATGTTGAGAAACTTGGGAAAGAAGGTCCTGTTCCACCAAGCCTACCTTCCAAGGAAAATATTGGACTTGTCATGTACACAAGTGGTAGTACAGGTCTTCCAAAGGTTTGTAACTTCATTTGATTTTCAATGACACTATATTAAATATCTGTTGTGTTCTCTTGGTATGAAGTAACATGGGTTGTTTAGCTGCGTTTCTAGATCGAATTGATGGTAAAATTATGAATAAAGAGTCCTTTTCTGTTTAAGCCTTTATTCCTAAGGATTAAGGCTTAATTAGAGCCTCCAATAATCATTACATGGACATGGTCTTCTACGTATGATTATGAGTCTAGCAATTGACCAAATGACATGTAAAGTTACTTTTGAGACAACCATCAAATTCTAGATAAGGTCTATACTCCTGAGTAATTCCTTAATAACCTATGTTGGAAAAAAATGAGGAAATAGTTGCCGTGCTGAAAAAATGCTATAAGTTTCCAGAATCAAAGTTCTGTATCCTCTAAAAACAATTCTATAAATTGAAAAATTCTTTTTAAAGAATTAAGAGGACACAATTTTTTTCTTATCAAATAAAATAGAAGTTCTACGTGTCCTCTAACTACTGTAAAATTTTAGCTTTAAAAGCCTTCATTTAGTACACAAATAAAACGTAATTATGTCCTTTGCTGTTTGGTCTTTTTCCCCCTATCTTGGGGTTTAATTTCATTTGGGGACTCAAACAATGACAATATCTTGTCCCACTAGGTGAAGTTGACTGCATAGATCACATGATGTTATTGTTTTCCATCAACTATCAATTCCTTAGATATATTATTCATCAAAAGGTTTTGTTCGTTAACTTCCTTGATAGTTCATTTTGATCTTTCTCTACCTCTCTTTATGGGACAAGACCATTTGTTCGACCCTTCTAACTGTTGCCTCCAACAGCCCTCTTTATGCATGTCCAAGTCACCCTAAATGATTCTATGCCATCTTCTGCTTGATAAATGTTATGCCAACTCTTGCATACATATGTGATCATTATAGATCTCATATTTTTTGTATGACCCCACATCCAACATAATATCCTTATCTCTGTTATCCTAATTTTTTGCTGTTAGTGTCCCTTTTATGCCCAACATTTACAACCATATAGCATTGCTAGTGTCATAAACAATTTGATAAAATTTCTGTTTAAGTTTAGTTGGTACTTTCCAATTACAAAGAGCTCTTGATGCTTTTCTCCCTTCTATGCATAACATCTCCATTTCATCGCCATTTTGTATTGTCAATCTTAGATATCTAAACTTTTGACACTTGTGGTTTGATTTGATTTTCATAGACTATAGCAAATATGTTTGAGTGTTAGTTTGTAAGAAGAATGAATGATTATACATGGATTTTATTTTATTTTTTTTAGTTTGTAAGAAGAGTGAATGATCACACTTGGAATTTTTAAAACCCTAGGCAAGGAACACATTTTCTCATATGAGGCTCAAGGACCTGTTTCAAGCCATATAAAACTTTTTGCATGCTACACACATGGTCAGCTCTAGTATTGTCTTCAAACCCTTGAGGTTGGCATACATAGGCATTCTCCTGAAAATCACCACTTAGAAAAGCAATGTTAATTTTCACTGATCTAATAGTCCAACCTCTATTCACAACAATTGCAAGAAAAATTCTCAAATTGATTAATTCTGAACAGGACTGAAAGTTCCATTAGAATCTACTCCAAGATCTTGTTGAGATCCTTCAGCTACTAACTCCAAGATTTTTGTTAGACTGTTGTGATCATAGAGAAGAAAGTTCAGATGCCCTTGCTGCTTGGGATGACTTGCTGCTTTGACCCCATTGCGAACTTGGGTCACCATCCTTTTTAGAATTCAGAGCATGGATGTCACCAAATTGGAGCATGGTTGAAGCTGTTCACGTTTCTAGAGATGAGCACAGGAGGGAGTGGGCATGCTGTGAGTGTTGTCACTTAAGTGGGTGGCCTAGTTTTGGGCTGTTAACAGTTGCACAGAGCTTAGCTCTGGTGCCATGAAGAATTCAGCGGAGTTCACTCATTTTCTCTGTCCGATAAATCGCTTTATTGAGTAACCTAATAAATAGGGTCTTGGAGGCAACAAGCCGGCCTCTCTAACATTAGAATCTAGGGTAGGTCTTATTGAATCAAAAGCTAATCAGAATATTTAATGGAATATATGACTAATTAAAAAATATATCTAACCTAGAAAATAAATACTAAACTGTCAAGACTATATGTGCCGTGCTGTAAGGAATAATAATGATAAAAGTAAAGTACAAAAACACATTATAGAACAGAGGGAGAGTCGCTCATCGCCTTCAACACAAGGAAATTTTCAAATGGGCTATAATTTCTCATTTCTTCATTTGCTTGCTCAGCTGTGGTACAGAGGATGATTAATTATGATGCTTAATGGGTCTTGGTTGGGTGTAAATTTTGCTTTACTAGACCCTTGAGGGCAAGGGTCTCTTGGCAGGAGATATCGTTATGTAATAAATAAATAAAGAGGGTTAGTTAAGGGGTAATCCATAGTTAGGATTAGTTAGTCAATTAGGTTCAAGGGTATTGGTTATAAATAGATGGGTGACTTAGTTTGTAAAGAGGCTTTTGAATAATGAAAATTTGAGTTTGTTTGCCTCTCTCTCCTACATATCTTATGTATCACAGTCACAAGGAAAAATGGCACATAGAAAAGTAGCGTAGTCACAAAATACAAATAACACAACTAAACGTTTCTTACATTCACCTATTCCCTCCCTACGAGAAAATCCTTGTTCTCAAGGAGTTGGAGCTGGTGTATGAGTATCGAAATCAGGATATTAATGTGTTAAAAGTTGTTTTCATTTCATACCGTGTTTTTTAACTGTTTGTTACCATGCAGGGAGTCATGATTACTCATGGAAATGTTGTTGCTACTACAGCAGCTGTTATACCAATAATTCCAAATCTAGGTACAAAAGATGTGTACATGGCAATCTTGTTTCTAAATTATTATGTTTGTCCAGTCTGTTATGCTAGCTGCAGGTGTTGCTATTGGTTACAGCTCTCCTTTGACTTTGACAGATACATCTAGTAAAATTAAGAAAGGAACCAAAGGAGATGCGACTGTGTTGAAGCCCACCCTTTTGATTGCAGTACCAGCTATTCTTAATCGTATCCGAGATGGAGTTCTGAAAAAGGTTTTAATTCGATAGTCACTGTTTGATAGCCTTTTTTTTTCCCACTTCATATTCATAGCTTTGTTATAACAGTGATGGAGTTATTATTCCCTTCTCTACGATGATGTACTTAAGGTTGAGGAAAAAGGAGGGCTTGTGAAGAATCTTTTTTTGATTGCTTACAAGCGTCGACTTGATGCTTTAAAAGGAAGCTGGCTGGGAGCTTGGGGATTGGAGAAACTGTTGTGGGACATCATTGTCTTCAAAAATATTCGCATCTTGCTTGGGGGTGAAATCCGGATGATTACTTGTGGTGGAGCCCCTCTATCCGCAGATACACAGCAGTTTATTCATATCTGCATGGGGTAATGGCTTTAATTTTTTTTCCTTTGTATGTTCTCCCTCCTACTCGTAAGGAATGCACATCATCTTTCTGTGTTCGAACATCTAATGCGTGTCGCTGTCTTTTCCTTGATTTGATCTTTTCATTTTATTTATACTAAACATTGGGGCATGATTTGTGAATAATGGACATGGATCTCTATATAAAAGCAATTTTAAGGGGTAAAAAACTAGAGGACAATCTAAGGATATTGCTATGCTCATATCAGGAGATAATTCTTTTACTTGGTTGTAACACTTATACCACAACAATTGATAGGTCAATTAACAGATCACAATGTGGCAGGTAATTGTGACTTGCTAACAAAGGATGAAAATAGATTTGCAAATATAGGTAAATAAAGAAAATATTATTATTATTTCATTGTAAGTTAGAAAATATAGGTAAATAAAGAAAATATTAGGGTTAAGATATAATTTTGCTTCTAAACTATTCATGGAAGAGCAACATTGCCCTTAAATTATTCAATATAGCAATGTAGCTCCTAAATTAATTAAACTAAAGGCTAGTGCAATGTTGCCCCCACCGCTTAAAACCCAAAAATTTGTATTATCTGAAACAAGTGGGTCCCATTTTAACCTCGTCTTTGTGTTTTTGTGTTTAACCTCATCATCTCCATTTTCCTCATCTTTGGGTCTCTGCGAGAATGATAGAGCTGGTGATTCCCAAAAGATTTGCCTGTCATTTCCTAAGGCTTACGGTAGATAATCTAGGAAAGCAGGTGATTTAGAGAAGACTGGGACCAGTGGTCAAGAGGTTTATTTGAAGGTTTATAACTAAGATTCAAATGATAAAAGAAAGGTTAGGTGTAGCCTAGGATGAGTGGTGTCAGTAGGGGTAATGACTACTTTTTGACTCTTTAAATATGTACTTTCGTGCTGAGGGAGGAGGGGGGACTTTTAGAGAATTGTGGTCAAGTGAGGAGAGTTCTGGCCTCTTGAATGTCAGATTAGGGATGGAGAAGATAATCTTTTCTTCATCATTTTATCTTTCTACTTCAGTTTGTATTTGTGACAGTCTTGTGTTTGTGTTGTTGGTTAGAGGGTGTAGTTTATGTTGTTTCATGCTCTGTAATTGCCATCTGAGTGTAGTTTCAGTCTTTATTTTGCTTGTAATCCCACTCTATTATTCAGCAATAGTAATTTTTAGTTACATTTACAATGTATTTTCTGATTTTGCTTGTTTTTAAGCTTAATAGAGTAAATTATTCAACTTGATCTCTGAGTCCTTATTTGTTCAACTTGATCTTAAATGTTTTGACGGAACATATTCAAGAGAAAATTCTGAAATGTATGCTCTTCGCAAATGATATAGTTCTTATAGCAGAGACAAGAAAAGAGGTTAATTGCAAACTTGAGTTATGGAGGAGGACATTAGAGTCGAAAGGTTTTCGTCTGAGTAGAAGTAAGACGGAATATTTATACTGTAAATTTGGTAAAGGACTATTCGACAATAATTTGGAAGTGAAATTGAGAGATCAAATTATACCTCAAGTGAAAAAGTTTAGATATTTGGGAGCCATTATTCAAAATGATGGTGAAATCAGTGGAAATATTTCACATAGAATTCAAGCTGGGTGGTTTAATTGGAGAAAAGCTAAAGGAGTTATTTATGACCGTAAGGTGCTTAATAAACTTAAAGGAAAGTTTTATCGCACTGCTATCAGACCGGCAATGTTATATAGTAGTGAATGCTGGGCTCTAACGGGACAGCAAGAGCATAAAGTTGGAGTAGCAGAGATGAGAATGTTACGATGGATGTGTGGACATACACGTAAAGATAAAATTCGAAATGAGCACGTACGCGAAAAAGTGAGGATAGCACCTATTGAGGAAAAAATGGTAGAAAATCGGTTGAGATGGTTTGGGCATGTACAAAGAAGATCAAGGGAGGCACCAGTGAGAAGAGTGGAACATATAACTTTGAGTTCGATTAAGAGAGGTAAAGGAAGGCCTAAGAGAACACTCTTAGAAGTTGTTGAACGCAATCTCTTAATTAATAATATTCTTAAAAGCTTGATAAATGATAGAGCACAATGGCGTCTTGCAATCCATATAGCCGACCCCACCTAGTAGGATAAAGGCTTGTTGTTGTTGTTGTTGTTAAGCTTAATAGAGTAAAAGGTTCCATCAATTGCTATTAGAGCACGTCGATCTCAGGGATATGAAAAATAGTATGGCAAACTTAAATGTAGAAATTGCAATGGCAGTAGCCAAGATGAAAGAGATGTTGACAGATGTGGCGAAAAAAATGGAAGAAATACAAAAGGAATGGAATGAAATAAGCTATCAGAGATGAAAGGGAAGAGTTAAGAGAACAAAGAGAAGATGCATGATGAAACCGAGAAGAAATCAGAGGTTGAAGTAGAAGGGCAAGAGAAAGAGCCTACTACTGAACTATGATTAAAGCTGTCACCTTTTTCACAAGAAAAGAAGCTTGAAGAAGCTTTTGGTGGGAACTCGAAATAAACTATGGAACATGAAGTTGCTCGAGTCCTAAATGTTGTCAAATTAGTGTCAAACTGTCCCAGAGAAGTTCAAAAAAGGGATATTGCTGCAGAAGAACTAAATCTGAAGATGAAGCTTGTAGCACATAGAAAAGTGCTTAAGAAACGCAATGCTGGATAGAGAACCATGGTACAGCCAAAGAGCCAAAGTCAAGTGGGTAGGCCTTTGAAGGTGAATGAGGAAGGGCAAGACAGTAAAGACACTGATGGTAGGGAATTGAAGCACTATTAGCTGGTGGATCAAGTCAAATGAATTAGTTGGGGAAGAAGCCCTAAATCTAATGAGAAAATAAAATATGAAGGGCCTGTTTGCAACATAAATGAGGCCCAAACGCACCTTAGTTGGGAAAGAAATCCTTAATTTGATGACAAAATAAAAATTGATGGGCCTGTTAACATAAGTAAGGCCCCAGTGCCCATTCAATTTTTTAACGTTAGAGATACCTTTACTAACCTACTCGCTAGAACGCACCGTCAGAGGGTGGGGAGAGAGTCTTCATTCTCAACAACGTCGACCCATCCAGAGGAGTTATCTCGCCTCTTCAATGTTGACACAGCAAGAAATAGTGGATATAAGGTTGTTCTTTATCATGATTGGGTGCCGAGCCCCACAGTTTCTACATGTCTCACATATCTGCTCAAGGGTTCCAGTTTGTCTAGAGAAAATTTCTGGGTTATTGAGATTTTTGAAGACACATATCGGAGAGAGCATAAACCCTTGCAAATTTCACTTAAAAGAAAAGAAACAGTAAGCAAGCTAGGAGCACCTTCTATTCTGTCCAAGTATAAGATGTTTGGGATTTACTACTGGGCTTTTTTATTTAAGCACTTTGAAGCACTAAAGAGGCTCCAGGTGAACATGCATATCATTATTCAATTGAAGTATTTTGTTCTAGCTGAAGTTATATTTTGGGTTAGCAAACGAATTTAGTTTGTGTTAACCAGAGCTTGTAAGGATGCAGGTAAGACAAGTGCATTTTTTATGTTTCAAACTTTGGTTACCCGATTTTCTTGTCTAGTAAAATTCCATGATGGTTTCCATCCACTTGAATTGCATCGTCTAGTGAGAGTAAGAGTGGGTTCGCACTCGAGGGTAGTGAGGAACAGGGGGTTGTACTATTTTCTCTCATAAGTAATGCCAATTAAGCAACGAGGAGTGAGATGGAGGCAACTATGGGCACTAGAAGACTGTTTTGGCCAAGAAGTATAGACCAGAACTTGGTGATTAAGCTTCTACAATTGCAGTTACTGGCTGAAAATAAAGAAGACAAAGGAGAAATACTAGAGAAAGAAAAGGTGGCTTCGTTTCAAAGTGCTATTTATATACCACCTCGTTTAGATGCTGTCACTATTCCAACAAAAATAAGAATCGTAGCAGCAAGGGTATTTCAAGGGCGAGAAAGTTTTCTAAGGAATGAATCCTTGATCTCAATATTTAGGGTTTGCTCCCCTACTTATGAGACTATACAATTCCCAGATCTGCAGCACCCTTTCGTTTGGCAGCTTGTGATTCTTTTCCTTTAGGATGGAGGTAACAAAGAAGGTGAAAGTTACCCAAGCAAAAGTTGCATTTCAGCTTTAGCGTTTAAACATGAAGCTGAACATTACTCTCTCGTTGAAGAGAAAGGGAGTGAAGGAACTATAAAAAGAATATACTTGGGTCATACAGTACCTTCTTCAAGCGTTCTGCAGCTTGCTACAACAAAGGCAACTAGTGAAACAAATAGGGTGAAGTGCTGCAACATTAATGATATCACAGTTCTTGGCAATCCAAATTCTGGCATGGCTTTTCTTGCTCTAGGGAACCTAGATATACCCTTGGCTAGATCTCACAGCCCATGTGAATCTAGTTGTATCGAGAAACCTTGTAATGAGGAGATCTCAGCAAGTGTGGTTTCACAACAGCAGCAATCAGATATACCCTTGGCTAGAGATTCTTCAAGAACACGAGAGAAGTTGAGCTGTTTGGGGAGGAATCTGCCAATACTTACTCCTAATTCTCACCTTGAGGACAAGGTGAAGCTTTAAAGGGAGGGTAATGATAGAGCTGGTGATTCCCAAAAGATTCGCTTGTCATTTCCTAAGGCTTAATGGTAGACAATCTAGGAAAGCAGGTGATTTAAAGAAGACTGAGACCAGTGGTCAAGAGGTTTATTTGAAGGTTTATATCTGTAAGATTCAAATGATAAAAGAAAAGTCAAGTTAGGTGTAACCTAGGATATGAGTAGTGTCAGTAAGGGTAATGACTACTTTTTGACTCTTTAAATATGTACCTTTGTGTTGAGGGAGGAGGGGGGACTTTTGGAGAATTGTGGTCAAGTGAGGAGAGTTCTAGCCTCTCAAATGTCAGATTAGGGGTGGAGAAGATAATCTTTTCTTCATCATTTTATCTTTCTACTTCAGTTTGTATTTGTGAGAGGCTTGTGTTTGTATTACTGCTCAGAGGGTGTAGTTTA